GTGTGTGTGTTTATATATATCAAACATTCTAATAAATAGCATAATAATGTAAATAAACCTAATAAATAATGTAATAATTAATGTAATATATAATAAATAATGTCAAATAAATATATATTTATATATATCATATATATTCAAGTGACAGCTGAAAACTCATCTGTTTCGTCAACATTTGACTGCATCCTAAAAATAAAATTGTCTAGAACTTGTACTAATCTGAACAATGTCTGAAACTTCGTATTACGAGCACTACCTGTGATGAATCGCTTATTGTATTCCTCAATTGTAAGTCGCTTTGGATAAAAGCGCTTTTACTTTAAACCCACAAAAACACATTTATGACTTTAAAAGTTTCCTTAAAGTGTTTTAAAATAGTGCACTTTAAATAGTGCGTTACTAACTAACTATTAGTGACGAATGCCGCAACAAATGTTGACACAAAATAAACAAAGCACTTATTTGTGTAAATAAAAGCAGGATATTAAAATGAGCACTAATGTAAAGCGCGAGCGCAAACATTTAACGAATGCATTACAGTATGTAGGATTTTATGAATGAAATAAATGCATATGAGTGCAGGCATGTGTAGAATCGCCCGAAGCAAGCAGAATGAATCGTCTGAATCATCCAAACATCAATCAATGATCCCGCTTGAATCCCGCAGGATGGAGACGAACTCTTTCACTATCCACAACCCAGAACAGAACCATCCCGAAGCAGCTTAAAAGGCTCTTACCGGTTAAATCCCGCCGGAGGAGGAGTGCTATTATCCGCGGCGCTGCTGAAGTATGGTGTGCTCTCTCATGATCTCTCAGCTCCAGTGTCACATTACATCCAGCTCATTCTGTTTCCACAGACACAGCGCGAGCGGATGGAAAACCCGACGTAGATTTCAAACGATCCCGGATTCTGGCGGAAAACCAATTGAGAAATGAGTGAGAAACATGCAAGTTTTCCCTGAAGGTTCAGTCCAGTGTTGTTTTTGGTGATACTGATGTAGATCCATGAGAATTCGCTGGGCACCTGCGGATGTTAGCGGGTGGCTATATCCACCGAATGTGGCTGTTGCTCTGACATAAGTCAAGGGGTCAGTGATGATATCCTCCGAGACCCTCACACTCTCAGAGTCAGACCGGACCCACTCCAGTGATACTCCAGTTCTTACACAGAGGTCATTCAGGTCCGGCCAGTCTGACCAGACACCAAAACCAGCAGAGTGAGTGTCCAGTTTCCCGCTGGGTTTTCTTTTGAAGCCAAGGAAGTGGGGCTCTGACTCCATGGCTAACGGCACCTTGCGTCTCCTGAGGTCCAGGAACAGGGAGGATCGAGCCAGCTCCCTAACATCTTTGTCATCATTATTCAGCATGTTCAGAAGAAGGGAAATCCGCATGCTGGTATAAATCCATATCATGTTTGGTACCCCCAGTCCTCCTTCCCATTGGGGATAAAAAATAATGTCACGAGTGCTGTATGTATTTAGTTCAAACCACTTTCGCACTAAGCTCACTGTTTTGTTATTCATTTCGCTCAGCACTTTCTGCTGGATATGAACGTTGGAGAACAGATGTTGTACTTTAGACAGTGCCACCTGTCTAATAGCCTCCAGCTTCATGGTCAGTGGCAGTGGACATTTATCAATCAGGTCCAGCCTGCATGTGAACTCTGACAGGATGAT